TTAATTAAAATAAATTAATCATATTTATTGAATTTGATTTGAGATAATTAGATAATTTATTATCTCAAGTTAATGATTAGTAAATGTGATTAATTAATTTTAATTAATTTTAATTAATGTTAAATTAATTATTCAATTAAATTAATTATCTTGATTAATTAATTTTAATTCTCAATTAACTTTAATTTTGGTCAAAGTCAAAGATATCTTTTATTTTATCTCAATTTCATCCAAAACTTTCATGTTCAAGCACTTTAGTCCAAAAGTTTCAAACCTTTTCAAATCAGTCCTTTGTTTTTATTTTAATCAAATCAGTCCATTTAATTTTTATTTGTGTTTATTGTGCATGCATGTTCTTGATATTGTCTATTTCAGTCCAAAAATAAAAAAAAAATGTCTTGATTCGGTTTATCTCTTTTTTCAAGTTTGCTTTTTAAGACTCAAACATAAACATAATAAATAAGTTGAATTAAAACCTCAATTTTAAAGTATGCAACCGTGTTTAAATGGAGGATTGTGAGGTGCGCGTATGCCCTTCCTCACTCCTAACCGAACCCCCGAACCCCGATCTCTGCGCAGACCCATTTTAGGTGACTTGTCCCACCTTATAATTTGGACGAGTGGCGACTCCTTTTTTCTTTTATATTTCACACTTAATTTTTCATTCATTTTGAAAAAAATCTTAAGTGGTCGTCAACAGATTGGCGACTCCACTGGGGACCGAACCTAGAATCTTTGGTTTCCATATTCTAGGTTCACGAGGGTCGAGCTAATACTTTAACTTTGGGGGAATTTTTTAACTTTTGATTTTCTTTGTTTGTTGAGTCTTTTGTGGGTCTTTGTTATTTATTGCATGTGCTTGTTGCATATTGCTTCTTGTTGGTTGCTTATTGCGTGTTTGCTCATTGTTTTAGTGGTTGCTTTGATCATTTTTGTCTTTGAGTGATTATCTTGTCATATCATGACATGCATCATTCCTTGCTCACATGTTCATGCATCATATCATCTCACATGCTCATCCATCATTGATATTATATGCTTATTCATCATGCATCATGCTTACATGCCTATTTGCTTGTGTGTGGATATACTCACCTTTTGCACTTGGCTATGGAGTACTCAGTGAGTCTCTTCCCTTTTGTGCGATTATTTACATATTTTTGCATGCTAAGTGTTGGTTACTTTGTGTTACTAACCTTTTGCATTTGGCATGGGAGTACTAGGTGAGTCCCTTCCTGCTGTGTAAGTAGGTTTGTTTGTGGATGATATATTTGTTAAGTGCTTTACATGCTTTATTTGATTGCTGTGGGATATATGTTGCTATTTTTGTGGTTGCCATTGTGCAGGTTATTGGAGTGTCATGCCTCTTGCACACACTCACTCTCATTTTGCATTAGGTCTGTGTTTGAGGTGAACCCGACCTCTAGTCTGGAATCTTTATGAATCTGGCTTGGAAGAGCAATTCTTTCCGCTTTGAGGAGTAAGATCGGTTTCCGTTAGGTTGTTTCCAATGGTTAATACGACACTTGATGATGTAATATCATTCTGTGTATTAGCTTTTGGAAATATCTCCCGTTGATTCCGAAAGAATAAATGGTTGAGAAGGCCTAATGCCCTTTAGGAAAACATGTATTGACCTTAGAGAGATACCAACCCTAAGACATGTTTCCCTTAGCATCCCACCCGTGAGGTTAGGGATCCCGTGTCTAAGACACAAGGGGCATTTTTCTTCACTAACTTTATCTCCGCACATGACAGGTTTTATTCTTATATGCATTCGAGGTATGATTAGTTATTCATCTTCTGCATTTAGACATCATTCTTGAGGTTAGGTGCATTCCATGCATTTCGTATCTTCATTTTCAACCCCATACATCATTAAAAAAAAAAAAGAAAAAAAAAAGAGGGGTTCATGATTGTTTCACATGTCATATGTCCATCCTACTCATTTCACATTAAATCTTCCACATGTCTTGAAAATTTCACATGTCATATGCATTGCAAAATATATTTTCATGTTCATCTCATGTGACATTCTCCATTTTGTTCATTGTATATTTCATTTTTCATCTCATATTTCAAAAAAAAAAAAAAAACTGCAAAAAAGTAAAATTCCACCCATGTTTAGTACA